CATGAATTAAGTGCCTAAGGCTATGTCTGCGGGAATGTTTTCCTTCAAAGCTATAGTAAGGTTTTGAAGTGAACTCACTGACTACTCCCATTTACCATGTGTTGATTTGGTATGCAAAGCAGCCTTGGTGTCTGTGAACCAGCTTCCTTTAGGAGGAGACTTAATCAGAAACTCAACACCAAATGCACACCTAATGTGCTCCAGTGACTAATGAAGATACAACGATCTGGAGCAATGAGCAGGGTGACCTGGCACAGAGTCGTCTGGCATGTACTGCATATGTACCAGCTACTGGAAATCTTCTGAAACCACTAAAAATTTCTGCAACATCCTCAGTATGTTTTCTGCCATACAAAGAGCCATTTTCTTTTTTCTTTTTTTTTTTTTTTTTTCTTTTCAAAATTTCTCAATGTACATTTAGATCAAGAAAAGTGAATGCCACGACTTCAGCAAAAGGGGATCTCAAATTGTACAGGTGTATATCAACAGACCCTGCGTGGTTATGGGATCTAGCAGACCACATAATGGCACAAACAGGGCAAAGTAGTTCAGGGGAAGCTACTGAGAAATGAAGACAGGAAACCTGACTGTACCCTCTAGCTTGCCTTGTTGGAAAGGGCTGAAAGATCTCCTCAGCTCGTGGCTGCTTTTTGGTGTGGATGTCTGTGAAGAGATTTTTGAAAATCAGTTTAGATTTTGGCATACTGGAACGACAAGAGCCCAAAATTGGGGAAGAGGTGATGAATGTGAAAAGTCCCTACAGAGTGGATGAAGGCAGGAGTTTTCCCTTTGACTTTCAAAATCCCACAGAACCAATAGCAGGGCTATGGCTGTGTCCCAGGCAGAATATATGCCCCCATAAAACTCTGCTTATGAGCTCTCACTGCTATCAAAAAACCACTGGCATGTTAAAACACCTTGTTACTAGTGGCAACCATCTTCTGCTAGTCTAATTTCTGTCCTTTCAAGGAGTGGGAGGGGATAAAGTGGCATTTCTTGTTTGCTTAGGAAGCTACGGCATCCTCTGCATTCCTGCACGGGTCAGTCCTCCCTCAGCTGCTTTTGCAGCCCACGGTCCATGGCCAGGCACTTACAAGCTTGTCAGCACTGCTGTAACCCAGTCTTCCCCCACGCTGGTACCTGGAGGCAGACCAGCCCCACCATCTCCTGCCCTCTCCTAACTGGTCACTTGCCCATCCTCATTTTCCCTCTGCAGAATTACTTTGTCTAGTTGAAAGATAAAAATAATTCGCCATTTTCTAGGGACAGATCCTAAGAGACATTCTCAAGGGAAAAGCACTAAGCAGCAGAACAAATAAATGAAGAGTACAATTCTGTGATACAATGATGTTTCCCTGTACTGTGAAATAAAATTGTCAGAAATGGAGAGCAACATTTTTTTTTTCCTTTTTTTTTTTTTTTTCTCCAACCTGTGTTCTTTTTGCTGTTCCACCTCTCACAGAATAGCTATGTGTTGCCTCAGGACTTGTTTCCCACAGGGCTTTACAGCCATAAAGCACAGGGTGTAGTGTGTCTTGTGAGGAAGTCATGGCCAGTTTGTAGGTCACAGACCAAAAAGACCCAAACCAACATCTAATATGTCCTGAGAGCAGCATTATGAGGAGATTATATCTCTTCTGTGTGACTTGCCAAGGACATCTTAGTTCTTGCCTCCTGTGGTCTACTGTTACAATAAACTGGAGCCCTGTTGCTTAGGCAGAGTTTCTAATAATTGGGAGGAATTAGAGAGAGCTGTGGGAATGCACTGAGGTCCTGAGCACTGCTGGAGAGCCGAGTGCCTTAAAACACTGAAGTGAGATAATTCCCATTTCAGGTCAATACATATTAACAAAAAAATGAAAGTGAAAACCGAGGCACACCGACAGACAAAGAACATTTTAAAGCTGCAGAATTAGTTACTGGGAGCTATGGATACACTAAGTTTAGCCATCAAGCTTTTACACTCAATTTGAACAATTTGGTCTCTGCAAATTAACATCTGCCCATCTCTGTGATGTGCTGTAGAAATCCTGGGACATTCCAGGCATTTGCCCATTCCTTCTCTGCTGCTGTGCATCTCTGGTGCTTGCCCCTGGCTGGAGCTCAAAGGGTTTTTCCCTCTGAACTCAGCCAGACCTGTTCCCATCCCAGTCCTGGCAGGATGACATGAGGCACCCCACAGCACGCCACAAGCACCGGGTCTCCCAGCATGGACGTGCAGCTTATGGGACAAATTGCTTCCTAACACAGAGTACAAGTGGTGTTTTCCATCTACCCTGACCTCACTTCCAACATCAGCTGAGGTCGTGGGATCTGGTTTCAAGATTGGAAGCAAAATTATTGAGAGTAAGTACAACTCTAAATGAAATACCTACATATCTTTAACAACAAGGGACCTTTTCAGCCTTTCAGCCCTTCCACGATGGTGGCCACTCCAGAGCCTCTCGCTGTTGAAGCTGCCAACTCCAGTGCCCCTTGTTTTTACCTTAAATCTGAGTAAATCCTTAAATCCAACTTTGGTTTTACCTTAAATCTGATCCCTTGTTTATTACTCAAGACCAACATGATCAAGCAATGGTCTTACTCTATTTCTTCTAAAATCCTGTCCTTTACCATTTATCAGTTTTGTTCTTTTCCATTTCGCTCAGTGTGAATGCAGTTCCGATGAGCCCTGTTTCCATGTTCAGAAACAGAAAAGCAAATACAGCCTGGGGGCCTGTCCTCTTGGTTTGGTGCTTGTGTGCATGTCTCTTGAGTTCTTCAGACTGCTTCCAGCTGAGACAGCACTGGTATTTGTTCAGGAGGTTTGCTGGGTGTTTCTGCAATAAAGACCATGCTACAAAAGATTTATCATTGAATGATAGAGCACCATCCTTTTGCAGGTGTGGGCTTAGGGCAGGCAGCCCATCTCTCGCAGGTCCCATCTGTGTCTGTAGCAATTCTCAGCTAACTTTTGGCTGGCTGGGGTTGCAGTTTGGTGTTCTCTGTCAGCTTTGCCTCGTGTCTCCAGAGAAACGACACAGGGGAAATTACTGTATGCTAGATACGCTGCCCTGGTCGGTGTGACATCCACAGATAGCACTGCCTTGAAGGAGACATGAGTTCACCTGATCTGAGTGCTTGTAGTGTCTCTCTGAGCTTAACACGGGAAGCTGCTGGGATCGCTGCACAAGTTCTGGGGCCTGGGGACACTGCAAGGAGGTGGAGAGGAAGGGTTTGTGGCTATGACAATGTTTTTCCATAATTTATTACTAAAGGACTCAAGTTCACTTCTCAGCCAGTTTACACAACATAGAGATGTGAGGGATTTATGCACCCATGGCATCAAAGATCACCATTGTTCTCTTCTGTCTTGATTCCCAGACCTTGCCCATCATCCTGGTGTGACCCTTGCTGCCTGCTGATGCACATCAGCACATCAGCCTCTGTGTCCGAGGCTGAATTCCTCAGCACTAGAGATAAGGTGTCCTTGATTGCTGGCCCGTGCCCATGTAATGCCTTACAGGGAAGTCATTACTAGGTATGGCTGAGCCAAATCTGCCCCTCAAGAATATCTTTTTTGAATGCAATAACCTGAAAAAAAAATGAGAGGAAAAAAAAAAAAAAAGCCCAAAACAAAGCAGAAAAAACATCAAGCAAACAGGACAAGGACCACAACTCTAAAATACCTGCCAGCACTCAGGGTGGTGAAAGGCAAGCTGCAGCAATGAGAATCCTAAGAGACAGCATTGCATTTGGCATTCAGGCACTTGTGTGATCTGCATCTTGGGAATCCCTTAGCAAAATGAGGAAAGAGTTTCCAATCTAAAAGAAAAAAAAAAATGACAGAAACTGGGAGTGAAAATTCACCTTGTTTAATTTATGGTGTGTCCATGCTTATATCCTCCATAAATCTTGGAGAAGAGGGGGCCAGTCATAGCTCTCCCACTCACCTTTAATCCACAGTGCTGTTTCTCTGCAGACTTGAAGTTCCAGAGAAATAGGATTTATCTTTGGATTTTATGTTTGTTTTTGTTGGTGGGAGAATTTTTCTGCTTTCTTAGCTGAGGGAAAATGAATCATTGTGCAGTGGGAGGCTCAGACACAAGGTTGAACAAGAATGAATTTCTTGTTGTTGTGAACTGGAGAGCACAAATCTCAACACCTTTAAGTAAATATTTGTTCACAAGCTTTTCACAGTCTTTTGTGGTAAGGAAACAGAAATAATCCATACTGTCTAAAAATATATTAGGAGCCTGTAAAAATTGTACTTTGTAAATACACAATCATCTCAAATATAACACTGTATCTTCTTCCATTTGATATTTTGATATTCTGATAGTTTAATTATGAAGCATTCAGAATTGCATAAAATCTCATTTATTTTTTACATTATGTTTGAAAAGGTAGACATTTTTCATATACTCAAAGCCTAGAAAACTTCAGCATGTCTTTCACATATCATCACACAAACAAAGCACATCGTAGAGCCCTTGTTTTGTGTGAAATGTTTTGACTCAAATAGCTGGTGATGAATAAAGAGAGACAGGTATATATATGTGCGTGTATGTGTGCATATATCTCTGTATACAAAGACAGATTTGATATGTGGTGACTGTAGCACCCCCTTAATCAAATATAATTCAATTGCAAGTTAGTGTACATCTCCTATCTGAAAATAACATGTTGTTAAGAAATGAATGCTATAAACAGGGAAAGAAAATCAGGTTTTGGATTGTTTATGCATTTGACAAGATGCTGAGCATTGTCATTGTCATTCTTCTTTCTCTATTAGAAAATAGTGAATTAATTTCTTCTTTCCTTATAAAATCAGAGAAACATTCTTATATACAGAAAACAAGATTGTGAAATTCCCAAAGTTTGCAAGGAATTTGGAAGGGAGATAAAGGACTTGTAAACATGCTGAGCTGGCTTTAAAAGCTGATAAATTTCAATTTGCATGTGCCCATTCAAATCCATGTATAACCTTGCTATGGCAACAGCATTACTGGAGAGAATTAACATAGAGATAGACTTGGTATTACTTTTCTTCTTGTTTCAGACTGCTCAAATAACAATAGCAAGAGTGGAAGTGCCCGTTGTGCCAAGAACAATAAAGTGGATGCACGGAGTCTGAGAATTCTTGGCAACAAATATCTCAAACCAATTAGGCCCTAATATGAAATATTTTTAGATTTGGATTCCTTTCATTGGATGTGCAGAGGATAAGACTCCTTGAAGCAATTTGCTAGTTCTCTTTTTCCGTTTCTGGAAATGCATGCAATTCTTGTAAGTAGAATCTACTTTTGATTCCGGGAGAAATTCTCATTCATTTTGGATTTATTTATTTATTTATTATTATTATTCTTTAATTTCAGCACACTAACCCAAACTGCATTGTGTGATATAATGAAAAAAAACTGCAAAATGTAGCAAGGGACTAGTGAGAGAGAAGACTTTCCTGGAAGTCTTGAGGTCTCTTCCAACCTAGAAATTCTGTGATTCTGTGAGGAACTCCAGTTTTCTGAGGAAATCATGGTGTTCAGTGTTTTCTGTGAAACACGGAGCACCTCAGCCAGCAGGTCTGTAGGTGGTCATCATGGTGCTGCCTCTAATAATGCCATCTTGAACCTTGAAATACTTGTTCATACTGTAGCACCATGAGTTCTCTTATCACGTGGGACTACATTTCCATTAAAAAGGTGGGGGAAAAGACATGCATAACTCTTAAAACTGTAGAGTATGTGAATTCCAACCTCTTAAAAAATATGACAACTCTAATCTATATTTGTTTAAAATTCTTAATGAATGGATGAAGAGCACAATTTTCAGGATCTGGATTTTATTTTTATTTTATTTTTGCATGGCATATTGTGCCTTTGCTCCTTAAGAAAACAGTCTGACACTAGAAGCAATAACCACAAGGTGAGAGCCTGGACTCTAACATGCAAGGGTTCATTGGCTTCATTTTCTAATTCTCAGCTTGACCACAGCACAGCCATGGTTCTTGGGTAAGAAGGAGGACAATTTTGGTTCTGCTCCACACAGAACCCCATTCTTCTCCTGCTGAAATCAGTGATGAAATCCCTCTGAATTCAGTGGAAGCAGGATTGAACTAGCAACTTTCAACAAAGGCGTCATTGTTCGGCATCGCAGGGGTCTGGGATGCTGGTGATGCCTTTCCTCTTTGTGCTCACTTCCTCCGCCTCATTAAGGCTGTGGCTTTTGGTTTTTCAGCTCTGGGGTGTCTGTTTGCCGTTGGGTGTCTGCGATGTTTTGTGGGCTCTGGTGTCTACTGCACTAGAAGACAGATGTTCCTGGGAGTCTTGCAAACAAGTCTTATTGCAGGGGAACGGGGTCTCTGCTCCTACTTTAAATGCATAAAATCTGAGATAGGTCTTGCATTACATTCCAGATCACATTTGCATGACTGATTATTTTTGCCTTTTTCGTTTGTTTGTGTAATGTCAGCAGTAAAAGGTAACTTAAACCCCAAGAGGCTGACTTAAGTGCCTTGCGTTGCTTTCGCTTTGTTGTGTCACTCAGCAGTGTTTCCTACACGCAGGACTTCAGCAAGCTTCATTTCCTGCGCTGAAGTGGTAGCAAAACAGCATAAAGAGAGCCTGGGAAATTGAGAATTATGGGAGGTATCAAGACCTCAAGTCTTGTAAGAGGTCCCTGGAGGAGCACTGAGCTGTCGTTGCAGAGATCAGGTACAGGCACTAACAGCCTGGTTAAGTAGGTGCAGGCAAGCCACAGGGAGAGTCTTCAGGCAACTGCAGGGGAGAGAGGGGGCAGCCAGTGTCAAGAGGATAGTAGGTATTTCTGTGAGTCTAGGCTTTCAAAATGATACTGTTTTTTAGATTTTGATACATAATGATACTGATTTTGCAAGCTAAACTATTCAGATTAATTACCGCGTATTTTCATTCTTTCTAATTACTGTAAAGGTTAGAGAGATATATTTGTTCCAAATTAAATTTTATTCTCAAGCTCGAGTACATGCTTAGATTAATTCTACCTGAAGTAGGTGAACTATTTTGGTTTTATGAAGCAATCTGGTCAAATTTCCCAACTGGGCATTTTAAAAAGAGAAATCTGAGACATCAAATGTGCTGGCCGTCCCTTGATGAAGAGACCTTTCCCCTGCAGGGAAATCAGCAGTTAATGTTATTCACTCCACATTTCAAAAGCACTTCGGCTATAAATTGCAAAGGTATAGTTCAAATATATTTTTAATTACCACTAGTTTTTTTGAGGCTCTCAGAGGTGGCAGATAGATTGTTAGAGCGATGTCATATCTGGGTGCATGTATTTACTAGTGGAAGATAATAAAAAAAAAAAAAAACAAAAAAACAGTCTCTCTGCAAGTCTCCAAACCAGCTGAGGAGGATTTGTCCCCAGCTTCCCCTGTTGCCCTTGGGAGCCAATGCCACAGCCCTTCCATCGCACCCCGACCCGTGGTCCCCTAGGACGTGGGATGAGGCTGGAGCATCTCCATGGCTTGGGAAGAAGCTCCCCATGAAGTGGCTCAGGTACTGCTGCCCACACCTGGCATTTTCAGCTGCACGCTTATGCCAAGGTCAAGAGCCACCAAACTCCTCTTTGCAGCAGCCAGCATTACAGAGCCTGTGTATTGTATCCTGCCTTGGGAGACCTTGAGGAAGCAGCGTGAAAACCGTGTTTATAAAAGGATGTGAGATATAAACTAACACTCCCTTTCTGATATCTGAGGATTTATCTTGCAGTAAAATTCCTCCTGGGAAAGCGGCAAAAATTCAACCCCGGTGTTAATTGGGGATCGCATAAACCCCATTTATCTGAATTTACATACAGAAGAGAAGGTAGTATGATAAAAGAGAAATTTAACTATTCATCCCTCTCTGCAACTATAAACACAATTTTCACTGTGTTTATGCTTGACTGTCTACAAAGGCCCTGTGATGCAGAAAAGGGATGCTCGGTCCCCGGAGCACAACTCTGCCAGGGCTGAGCACTTGGGCCGATGCAGTGGGTGTAGTGAACCCAGTGATGCTCTGCAGAGGAGGACAGGAGCTATGGTCATGACATGGAAGATAAATCCAGGGCAGGATTTCAAGTGGGAAGAGCTGTGGTCAGAGACAGGAGTCAGGAAGGAGGACAGTGTTTCTGAAAGAAACACTGCCCGAGCAACAAGGATGAGTAAATGGGATAATTACCAGGAATTTACAGAAGCATTAGTGCAATCATGGGATGGACTTTACTTGATCAGAGATGGCAGTGGAGGAGCCAGGAGTAAGCTCCAGGTTAAGAGCTGGAATGCTGGAGAATTTACTGGATTTTAATAGCCAATGAGAAGAATATTAATTTAGTTTTGAGATATCAGGAGACTTTGCAGGAAAAGAAAATGAGGGAAAGACATGAGTCTGGCCAGTCATTCACAGCTATTGATGAAGATGTGATTATAACTGGGAAAAGGGATTTAGATAAAGAGGTATAAAAGGAAAGCAGGATAACACCTCCATAGAGTATAACCCTGAACAAAACAAAAGGGATAACAGGAAGAAAATGTCAATAGGCAAAGGATACACCTGGCTGTTGAAGGCAAGGGAGAGGTAGAGAAAAATGGAAAAGCAACTCTTGTTCTAGAGACAGAGGTGGAGGGGCCACTTCAATGCACCAGGGAGTGAGAAGCTGGTTGGGGGAAGAAAAGGAAATCAAAATACTGGGAGCAGAAGCCTTGAGGTTTTGAGAAGCCTGGAGATGGGGGGAGGAGGGAGAGCAAGCAGCGAGCAGAGAGGAGGTGGAGCTGGGCAGGCAATTAAAATGCCCTGGGCTCTGGGGGACAAGGAAAGAAACCCAGGGAAAGACTGGTTGTTGAGAGGCTGGGAGTGTGGGCCAGGGGGAGTGTGGACACATGAGCCAGAATAACAGTTGGGTCAGGGGGTGCACTGGAAAATGAGCAGCAGAGAAAGTTTGGTAATTCATCCTCACACAAAGCCTTTTCCCTTCATATCTGAACGTGCCTGTTTCTGTCAGCTTGATTAAATCAGCCGGTTGATCTTATTTATCCAGGTGATGGGTGGGTGCTGATACATAGCCCTCAGGAGCACATAGAACCTATAGGAAGAACTGATTTATGGGTCAGCAGCGAAAATTAATAGATAAACAAAACAAAACAAAACAAAACAAAACAAGCATGGTGGTTCTAAACAAAAATTACATTCCCACCATTCTTTGTTGTTGTTGTTCTGATGAAAGAACAAGAACAGAAACAAAATTCTCTGCATCCAATGAGAAGAAAAATATCTGATTCCAGGTCTTTACGAGGAATGCTGGAGGAGCAAAGCAGAGAACTTTCCCTCCCGTTGATGCTGCAGGAGCCGGAGCCGTGCCGTGCCCCACAGGAGTGAGGGGGAGCACAGACCACATGCGAAGAGGCCACATTTCACTCCTGGCAGTGGGAATTCAACCCCTGCTGCTCCCTGGTGACTCCCTAAGTCCTGGGCTGGCAGTCCTCTGCTCACCAAATTTTGTACAAGGCACAAATTCCCACCAACAGGGACTGGTGTGTGTCACCTGCCCTGCTGCTCTCCTCTCTGGGAAGGTAGGCAGATTTACATCTACCTCGTGCTCAGTTCAGGCCATGGCTTTTAATAAAATTCCTCCATCTGTCACAAGGGTGTGCTGAGGGGTGATGTTAGGGGCAGCTCTGCCAACCTGCCGGCAGCCAAAGCTGGTCCATGAATGAGTTAATGGGGCAGGAAACAAGTGAGGAAAAGAGTGATTCCATGGCCTGAGTCTGGTGTGACATGTAAAGACCAGAGGAACTAGTTAAATGTGCTTTACAAGGCCTCATCTTTTGAAGATGACAGAATTATTTGGGATGACCTAACACATGGTCATCCCAAAGTGTCCCTGCCCATGGCAGAGATGTTGAAACTAAGCTGAACTTTAAAGGTCCCTTCCAACCCAAACCATTTCATGAGGCTGTGACTCTACATCCAGCCACCCTGGACGAGGCACAGGACTCCCTCCCAGCTGTCATGCCAAGCCCAATGGGCACAAGGTAGCTGAAGCAGCACAGTTAGCAAACCATGGGCAATAAGCAGCAGCCACTGGTGGCATGTGTGTTTCCAGAGGCTCAGTGTCTCCCTCTGAGCAACAATTACTGGCAAGGACCACAGACTCATTTGCTGAGCTCATTGTGCTCTGGGGCAGCGAATATACCTTTTGGTCTAAATGCGGTGCTCAGAAAAGAAGAAATTAAAGAAGAAGAAAGAAGAAGAAATTAAATCTTGCTCCATGCCCTGCCTTCCTTGCTGCTCGGAAGCTGTATGGCTGATGGGGGTCGGTCTGCTCCCAGCTGCAGAGAGGTGCCAGGTCCCACTTCCCAAAAAGGGCTCCCCGATTTGCCAACCCTGCACCCACAGCTGAAGCAGAGGGGATAAAGCTCTTGGCCAGTTGCTCCATTTGGAGGTACAAAACCCCCAAGCTCTCTGGCTCCCACCACTGCCCTGGCTCAGCCGAGCTCCCTGCACCTCTCCCAGCCCTGCAGTGGGACTCGGCCGGTGCTCGCCGCGAGCTCAGCATGCTCGCGCCGCTGAAGCGAGGTCTGTTTAATACTTGTCTGTGCTCCATGTGTAAATATTATGAGGAATATGTAAAAGAATCTCCTGAAAGCCACTTTATGCTGATGTTACCATGAATAGATTATTGTCCTTTTATGGCTGAGGGACAGGCTTTGTAATTTACAGTGCATTTTATAATCTCTCTGATTTCTCTGGCACCGGCAGTAGCCAGCAAATATCTATTCATAACAAAGAGGACAGCGTTAGGATCGCTGTGTAACAGGAGAAAGAAGGACGGTGGAAGGGTGATTTATGATTCCTCAAACCAAACAGTTTTATCTGCTCACTCAAAGGCAGACTGCCTTCCTAAGAAAAAGTTATTGCTGTGTAAACAGGTGATAAATAATCATTTATAATGAGACAACTTAAACAGGTGATATGAGTTATTTCATAAAAAAGTACAGATAACTTTTACCCATGCTTTGGCAGCAACCTCATTAATGGTAAGGGTCCCATTTAATTAACCCTTGGCTATGCTGCTTTGGACTTTCCTTTACCCGTTCTGCAGGCAGCGTGACCTCCTCCCACCTGCTTTATCGTGGAGTGTTTTTTGTACGACTGAAACTCCAAAATGCTGCCAGCATTTAAAAGATTTGCAGCAGAAGAGAGCCCAGAGGTTTTCTGTTAACCTTAAAAGCAGTGGGGAATGTGGGCTAAACCCAGACATCCAAAGCGGCATGAGATCCAAGAGGAGCTCTTGGCTCCACCTCTGCTCATCAATTTTCCTGGTAGCTGCAGGCTGTTAACTCTGTATGAGGGGACAAACACGAACACAGAGACATAAACCAGGGCTGCCTCATCTCTGGGAGTATTTCAGCACTTGTAGAGGAGCATCAGAGATAGCTTTTTTGGTGGCTTGGACAGTTGAGGACACAGATGGTCAGGTGGAGCTGTGGAGAAGGTCCCAGGCTCTGATGGATCTCATCTGATCAGGGGGGGTATGAAAGCAGCAGCCCTTTGGTTTGGTTCTTTATATTTACTAAAGGCTAATTTTACGAACATCCCTGGCTGGAGAAAGCGTATACAACTAAAAATAACTTGAAATGAATTTAAGCCAGAATCAGCCCACCTGGCGGTCGCAAACACAGTTATCTCCTGTTCCTTCCTTCCTTCCTCGCCTCCTGCCTCTCTGCGGCTCAGTTTAACCCGAGCACAGGTGTCTTCCTGTGCACCAGCACTGGGGGGATGAAGCGACTGCTCTCCTCTTAAACCAGGGCAGTTTGATCACTGGTGCTGATTTACTGGTGAATCGGAGCAGAGAGATGCTCATGTGCTGCCAGTGCTTCCCTTCTGAGCCTCAGCAATCACCCAAATGCCAGAGGGAGCTGGTGAGATGGGACCACAGGGTGGTTGTCCCACCGGAGCTGCAGAGGTCACCTCAAGGTGACTGTAAACAGACCTGGTGGAGGAAGAGGCAGCACCATGCTGGCCAAAGCCAAATATGACCATGAGCAGTGTCAGCACAGCTTGTAAGATAATAGGAAGTCCTATCCTGGGCTCTCTGCCTTCCCTTTACTCCTTTCAACTTCTCTTCGACTCTCAGTGGTGACCAGCTGAGATCTTCTGCCCATCACAGTTGAAGGGGGATAAGCAGATGTAGACACTTCAGTGGTTTTATGTAGCTATGCTTATTTTGTGTGTGTGTAAAACACGCCTGTCTCATGTTCCTTTGAAAGAAGGTTTTCAAAGGCTGCAATTTCTCAGCACTGCAAAGTTGATCCAAACCTAGATTGAAGGAGAGGTGAGGCAGAGCTGCTCAGCCAGTTCTGCCTCTGGACACAGGGGATCCAGTCACCAGCCGTGGATGTTTTCTGGAGATGGGACTGGGTTCAAGGGGCTGTCTCTCACATTTTTCAGCAACTCCTACGAGGACCTGAGCACATCACTACTACCCTCTGCATTTGCATATGTGAAATGAAGGTAAAGATGCTCACTTTTCTGAATCTCTGGATCTACAGAAGAAAGGCACCACATAGATGAGGTCTGAATACGAAATCAGGACCAAAAGGTAGCCTGCAGGACAGCTCTCAAACCATCTTTGAGGTGTCTATTTTAGCAATCCTCCAAGGACATGCTACTGCCCTTGTGCACGAGTGGCTGCCTGGACCTGTGAGATGTGGGGGACGTGTAGGGAGGTTCCAAAACAGGGGCCACCCCACAGCGCTCTGGAGGATTTCTTGCTTTCTATTTGGATTGATGATGGAGTTGCACAGTGTTAGCCCAGTGTTCCACCACAGGTTTTATTTTTATCTATGCACGTGAAACAAGTTCACATGCTGAATGATAATTTGAAATGTCAGGTTGAACTCTAAATGAAAGACACCAAATACGTTGGCAAGAAAGCAAAATCCATGGCTGCTGTCATGCAGTTTGCTGCCTATTGATAAGCTTTGAGAAAAGGCAGATGTGGTGTGTCAGTGGCAGCCCCAGTTGCTGGTGCTGGGAGTGGGGTGGGAGCAAGCCTGTGCTGCTGTCCCCTCTCTGTGCCCCCTCCAAATCACCTACTGATAACTTGCCTGGCACCTTGTTGCTCAGCCTGCCCCTCAGGACAGTAGCACTGTGCCTACATGGGTGGCAGAGGTGGCTTCTTCCCCTGTTCATCCAACCCATCCAGCAATGGGCATCTCGCTGATGAATGTGGGCCTGACCCTAAGGAACTGCCAGCACATTCCCCTTCCCTGGGAAAATGCACTCACCCCCTGGGCACTGAGGGGAGCAGGGCTGGAGTGGCCAAAGGATGGAAAAAAAGACAGAGAGACAAAAGGAAATGGAGCAGAGAACAAAGTTGTGGTGGGGAAGGGTGCACCAAGTGCCCATTGCTCCCAGTGCCCCTGTCCCGCTGTGAGCATCCCCTTTCCAAACTGCATTCCCAGCATTATCCCCTTCCCTTCTCCCTCCTGGCTCCTGTGTGCAATTTGACTCCTCTGGGCATGGGACTCAACCAGGACAGGACCCCTTGGCCTGGAGGAGAGGATGATGAGTTGGGGGATCAGGTCCGAATAACAGCCCTGCTCTACCAGCAGCTCCCTGCCTCCCTGGGGCCACCACAGCTACCTGTGCTCTCTGGGAAGGGAAACCATAATCCTTATCTACCCGTGGCATGGAGATAAAGAGGGGAGGTTACAGTGGGATGAATTTAGGAGGCATGCAATAAAACTGAAGGATGTCATTACTTACAGTTCTTCATCTGATTTCCCAGCCATGTTCATGCCCATCACATTTCTTCAAACAAGTATCTGGCCCTCATGTGAATCCAGATGAATTATGTCTGCGTTCTCTTTACTCCCCGTGTTCATACTTCCATAAAATATGCAATTGATTTCATACAGCACAAGGTGCTCGTTTTAAGTCCATGGCTGCCTGCTACGTATAGAGACTCTTGCATTATTATTTGTTCTCTTGCTTTTCTCCCGAGTGTGATTAGATTTGTCAAACACAGCAGCCACCAGCATCACTCTTACTGTGTCTTTTGGAAGTTTATATTGCTCTCAACTTGCTTTGATTTGATTCTTGATAGCTCAAGATTTCTCATGACTGTAGAACAGAAATTATTAGTATTTCTGTTAAGGGTTCATTAACAAACTGCATCAGCTCCAGAGGAGGCCAGACACGGTGCAAGGTTCAAATATTTCATCCACACCAGTTCTTTCCCCACTTTTTCTTTATTCTTGTTTTTACAAACTGCTCCTCATTTTGTTAATGCGCATAATTTTCTTACTGAGCACAGACTGGAACGAAGAGTTTGATATTATTTAATGGGATTTTTTAATGGGACTGAGGCTTTCAGCTGAGATCTGAACACTGTACCAGAGCTAACGTGGATGATTATGGTAAATGATGAAACCTGAATAGGCAAAGAATACATGGAAAAAGAAAGTGTTTTCAAATCTCCTGAGCTTGAAATTCATCCTAAAGGTAGTGGGAGCCAGCAGAAGCAACTGCAGGGCCATTAGTCACTGTCTGTGGGCACTCATGG